TTTCTTCCGTGACATTTTACGTACCCACCTTAAATTCACTCCTTCCTCCCCCCACGCTTCTTCCTTCCCTCAACTAAAACACCCCCCCCCCCCCTTTTAAGCCCCCCCCCTTGTTCCGCCCCCCCCCCCCCTCAAAAGTGCTTGGAAAAAATAAGCCCCCTGGGGGCTTAATAGAGGATTTACTGTACTTACATCTGTCATTTTGTTGGCAGTACGTGTAGTTAACTCCGTGAATCGTTCCATTGCCCAAGACGGTGAGAAAGAATCCCAGTTTACTTAGATGTAACTGCACTGTCTTTCTGTAGGTCGGAGGTGCCCTTTCATCACAATATCCCCGTCGCATTTTCTCTCTGTGTGTTTTTGATGAGCAATTTCTCCAAATGCTGTTGATCTTCTTTATTCTTGACGGTTTATGGCTTCCTCTGATTTTTACTTGCATGCCCGAACGAGCGCTGCACCATCTCGCCATTATTATCAACGTTACAACACATAACAATATCTGATGGAACATAAAATGATAGTAATGCAGTTAGTAGACTGTTCACAGTCCCCTATTTTTCCGTGTGATCATCGAGATCGAGCGCGTCTTACCGTTAATGGCGGCCATCTTGATTTTCAGTCGTAGCGAGTCTAACCTGGGGAAGAGTATCAAATCTACTTAGGGGGCGGGGGACGGTTTGGGAGGAGCCTAAACCTAACCCTTACCCTAACCCTAACCCTCAATTTTTCTCGCCCCCACCCCCTAGAGCTATAATCCCCGACGCCCGCCCCCTCGGTACATCTAAAAATCAAGATGGCCGCCATTAACGGTAAGACGAAAATCAAGATGGCCGCACTTAACGGTAAACGCGCTCGATCTCGACCATCACACGGGAAAATAGGGGACTGTGAACCGTCTATGCAGTTAGTGCCGACAAACATTCGTATGTGTTAACAGAAGCCCTATCCGGCATCCTAGAGCGATTACCTTATGACCTTGAAATGAAAACGCGCGCTTCATGCCCGAAGAACTTTCCAGAAATCAATCGATACTTCGCTTTGACGTCATACTGCAACACGATTGGCCAAATCGAACTATGCCTTCTGCATATTAGGGTTTTGTTTGGCGGGAAAACGAAGAGTACGTGTTTTGATCTTTTCAACCATTGGCTGATAAAACAAATAACAAACACTTACCGAAACCATTTTTTCAAGGTCATACGAAAATCGCTCTAAAGAAACAGTAGGTGTCCAACGTAACACTGCAATGCTAAATTGTGTGTCTTAGAGAATTTTTATGTTCGTCTCGTAGGAAGGAAAAATATCGCAGTGAGCGGCCAGGTGGCGGATGTAAGTAATACTGTTTTTCCCCCACCCCACCCTCCTCCTCTTCCGTCCATCCCCGCTGTCTACAGCTCGGCTTTCAGTTTTTTTTTTCTTTTCAGGGTAAAACGTCAGAAATCAAACAAAAAATCTGGGAAACCTCTTCCTCAATTAACAGTTTCTAGGATTTTATTGCCTTTAAAGTGTTAAGCTAGTTATGTTCGAAAACAGTCTTTAGTAATACTCAAGTTTTCAGTAAAATCACTCCCGTATTCATCTACGAGAAAAAAACAAACTAGAAAACAAATCTATTGGTATTGCATGGCTGGTAACAATATTACAACTGAAAGGGCACAAGATCCACCTAAGATTAATATATACAGATTTAGCCAAGGCCAAA